CGCTCTAGACACGGGGTTTGCTCATCATAAAAAGGACCATTTAGCCAGCATGGTGATAGAACAGTCGGAGCTGCAGCAAGGACACCTCACACTTCTTACATAGTTGTAATTAGATAACCAAATTACAATTAAGTAGAAACAAAAAAGGTGACCTTTCTCCTTGATATAAAGTAACACTAACTGCGTGAAGACTCAAAGGAGCTAATCAGAGCTGAAGGCAAGGGACTTGCTTTCTCTTGGGAACTGTCATTGATTTGCTCTCCCGGTCAGGAGTATGGACGTAAGAAGGCATGCACACACTGGAATACAAAGCTGTCCACCGTGCACTGATGTGTCATTCCCATCACTTGTGCTGCTCTGCAGAGCAGGTGTGTTGTACCATCCATCAGCCTGGTGGTGTGATGCTGAGCTCTCAGAGAACAGCCAAGAACAGCTGAGAGCCCTGGACCGAGAAGCAGAGACAACTCAACCTGGTGAAAAGTCGCTCACAGTCAAATGTGCAACAGTCCCCTCACCTTGGATTTTCTCTTAGTTTACAGCAACCAGGCCAAACAGACACAGTCATCTTCCCTAAGAGGGATCTGACAACATTCCAGATGGCCCAGTGAGGTCTCCAGATCCAGTTACAGTGAACTGTGAACTGTTCCCTTGTACAAACACCAGAACACTGGCTATGACCCACGAGAGAAGACTTTCATCCATCTCCCCAGAATCATTGGTTCCAAGTTAATAAAAGGGCACACTGCTTAAATAGTTAAGAGTCTGAAGGCAAGCAAACTGGAACAGCAGGCTTTGGAAAGCTGTTGTAATTACTAAGGTGGATTGTCAAATTGATTAGTTTTTGAAATGCCTAGGACTTGGTGAAGCTCATGTTGAATGCATTTGTGAGGGCATTTCCTGAGAGGAATAACTTAGGGGAGAACATCACCCCATAAATATTACTTGTGCCATCCTATGGCATGGGATCTCAGAGAGAACAAAAAAGGATAAAGAAGGAAGCCAGCTAGGCACCCACATTTTGCTCCTCTGCTTTTTGATTGGATGGCATGTGAGAAAGCTATGTTCATCTCACACGTGAGAACTTTTCACAGTGCCATAACTTCCCCATCAGGATCCACTGTATCTCTTTAACCCTGAAAGCCTTCTCCCACCAAGTTGCCAGAAGAAAGCCTTCCAAGCTCAAATTGCTAGAAGAAGGCCTCCCCACTCGAGTAACCAGAAGAAGGCCTCCCCCCTCCAGTTGCCAGAAGAAGCCCCTCCCCCCAGTCTTGAGGTGCTTCTTGTCATACCCATGACAGTAGCACACAGCTGTATGTTTTTTCCTCTTCTCACTCAAGCCCCACCCTTTTCTCCAAATATTTATTTCTCACTTACCAATCACTACTGCTCTGACTTAACCATTCATGCATTCAGGCAAAAAAGCCCAGGGCACTGGGTTCGACTTTAATGCTTCATGACTTCACAGAAGCACTATTCTGTTTTCAGTTACTATCCTTTTTGAGAACACAGGGTCCTCCAAATCAAACCTCAAGGATTCTGGGTCAGGATGAAGAATCTGGTGCCCACTTAGGAGTCAGCACACAAGCCTGGCAATGTGAGGAGCCACCACTACAAAGAGGCTCACACACAAGATTGGGTAAAGATAGGGACAGAATATGTATGTCATAGAAGTATGATCTGGTTTCCTTCTGTTACTATGACAAACACAACCAAAAGCAGTTCAGGGGAGGGAAGGGTTTATTTATCTTGCACTTCTGTGTTACAATCCACCACTTAAGGAAGCCAGAGCAGAAACTGTGTAGGAAGAGTTGTCTGGCTCACGCTATGGCTTGCTCCACCTCATGTCTGCTGGTTTCCTTATACAGCCCAGCCCAGGGAATGGTATCACCCATAGTGGACTGGGTCCTCCTGCATCACTTATCAATGGAGACAAATTCCTCACACACATGCCCATATACCAATCTAATACAGACAATTACTCAACTGGGACTCTTTTCAGATGACTTCAGGCTGTTTCAAATTGACATTTAAAGCTAACCAGGACAAAGAGGGAAATTGAAAATAATTGGAATTAGATATTTGAGATATGGATATTGACAATATGAACATACTTGTTAATCAAGCTCCATTTAGTGATAAAAATATGCTTAATAGCTATTATCTTTAAGAATTAGATATTAAATGGTTTAATTAGGAAATGTAGCAAGTACTGATATCAATAATTTTATATGTTTATGGCTAACGGTATCTTCACTGAACTTACAGGCAAGGAATTTAAGTACTCCCCAAATGTGTTAGAAGCAAGTTGACTCTGTTATTCTTAGGTTTATTTCTATATAAACATCCATTTTCTACAAATGATATTACTTAAAATAGGATTAAACATCTATTTATTTCAATTCAATAACTGAATTATTCAATTATTCAATTCAATAATTGAACTGAATCATTTGTTGAGAATTTGCTGTTTGTCAAGACATTTCAGAGCATTGGTATTATATTTCATTTAATGCACAAAATCCATAATTATTCACAGATTACTATATTTGTGTGAGGACAAGGAAATTTTAAGCTGTTGCTCAACTCCCCATTAGCTAGAACGACTTCCCAGCTCAATAATCCCAGTCAAGAATCGACACAGTAGGTCATTAACTTGCTCAGTCTTGCCAGCTCCAGTTAGTCTGTTTCCTGGCCTCAGATAGCTGAAATATATTTACATTGTAGTATCAGAGAGAGAGAGAGAGAGAGAGAGAGAGAGAGAGAGAGAGAGAGAGAGAGAGAGAGAGAGAGAGCAGTTTAACTTTTGCCTTGATGAAGACCTCAGGCTAGCTGATAAAGTTCCTTAGACAGTATAGACAATCAGCAAGCCTGTTGGGCGGGGAGGGGAGACTGAGGACACAAACCCTGTGTTGCCATGACACTGTTTAGCTCATTTTCAGAAAACAAAGTGGTGGGTGGCCCAGGCAATCCTTTGTCCAGGAAACCACTGGAGCCACAGACCTCACATGTTAGCCTTAGAGGCCAAGCCCAACCATGATACATAGCTCAGTCATGGGAAGTGATGTGGTATCATTGACCAGAAGCCACAGTTAGCAAAATCCAAAGAGACACATTAAAATACACACACACACACACACACACACACACACACACACACACACACACACACACATCTACTATTTGAGGAAAAATATATGCTATAAACACACATGTAAACAGAGCTGAAGATATTTTGGGGTAGAGGAGGAGGAATCAGAATGCTTTGACCAGAGTCCTCAGTTCCAGTTGAAGTAAAGATCTACACAACCTGCCCCTATCTATCTGTCTGTCTTTCTTCCCTTCCCTCCCTATATCCCTGTTTTGGGAGTTCCAGAAGAACTAGATATTCATCTATGACATCTGGAAAATTGCTTAGAGTTCTTCCAGATGTGCATTCCTTTTGGCCACAAGGCGATGGTGCTTACCTCAGAGAGAGACCACAAGCATTATTACTCTGTAGGTGAGCACACTATTATTTTTTTAGAAGGTTATTGGTTCCTGCTGGACAGTCTCATCTCCAGAGCTTGCCAGGCATTCTGTGTTCTCTCTGTGCTGGCTTTATCTCTGCTCAGCTATATAGTGCCTTGGCAGAACACGCTGAATTTTACCACATGACTTGGAGGGAGAGCCAGGATTTTTGCTCTGTATTCTACATATTGGTATAATTTATAGAACACAGGCAAGATGAACTTAGGAAGGACCCAAAATGTATAAATAAGGGAAAATAGAGGGACTTTCAAAATATAGCCACAACTTCTGTGTTGGTAAGATATGTATACCCTGAAGTATGTAAATAAAAAGAAAACTATTGAAATGTTAGAGACAATATGAAAAGTTACGTTTTAAAAAGATAAAATGGCAACTTGGAAATTTGAAAAGCATGTTCTCTGATCCTTTGAGTCCATTAAATTTGCACGTGTGAGGGGTGTGTGTGTGTGTGTGTGTGTGTGTGTGTGTGTGTGTGTATGTGTGCGCGCGCGCGCGTGCACATTTAATGGTCTTTACTATGGCTGCTTTATGTAAATGAGATATCTAAAAGGCTAAACTTCTATAATGAGGATAATGTTTGTGATAGTCAGATTGTATATTCCCTGCAACTTATGGTTTCTGCCCCTGCCAGAGCACTGTTAAGTGATAGAAAAGGACACCCGAACACCTGTCACACCACACAACTCCCCTCTCTCACACTCTAATGAGTGTGATGCTTTTGAAATCCCCTCTTTCTCTCTCTGTCTCTCTGTCTCTGTCTCTGTCTCTCTCTCTCTCCTTTCCTTCCTTCCCCCACCCTCCTTCCTTCCTCTCCTACAGAGCTATAAAAACTGCAAAACAAAACCAAGATCAAAGGAATCCTTTGCTGCATTCCAGGCTCTCCTGTAATACTTCTCACTGGGACTGAGGACAGGAACCACAAATGGGAAATCCAGCAAGTAGAAAGTACTTGGAATGTTCTGAAAGAAACTACCCCACCCCAGGAAAGAATAGAATGGCAATAGACATTAACATAAAAAATCTACCGACTTTGCTGTCCATGCATCGTCTTTTCTTCCTAGGTATTACAAATGCATTTCATTGAGTCTGTACTTGGCCATAATAGTCCAAAATGTCCCCAGAGCCTATCACACCACATCAGGAGTAAAGAGAACATGACAAACAGAATGGGACCCAAAGAGCTTTTCTTCATATTTCAGGCTTAATTGTCAACAGGTCTGAGTTTCTCTCTGAAGCAGAAGTCCTCTTTCATACAAATCTCTGTTTCTTGCCTCTGTCTCCACCCCTATATGTAACTGCCTATGGCACATACTTCTGTGCCCTTTCCAGTAGCTGCTCTGCTTCTGGAGAAAGTGGCTGTCTGAAAGAGTTCCAGTATATGAACAAAGCTCCACCCCAAAGCCACTATGCATCACAAAAGCTTGCACTTGGATAATAGAAATATTGAGCCTCAGGTGACTGAGAACACTTACTGTTGGTTGCATAATGTATGGCAGATGAGGCGTCCATGAAGTACTCTGGACCTATGCATCAAACAGCATTCATTAGGACAAGGCAATCACAGAGGCAACTTGCTTCTTGTGTTTGGTGGCATTGCACTGTGTCATAGAAGTGGAGACAGGAATGCTTGGCCCTAATTAATTTAGCAATTCCCCATCTAGGTGGCTGGCTGCAATGTCCACACAGGTCAGGCTGTGTGTGTGTGTGTGTGTGTGTGTGTGTGTGTGTGTGTGTGTGTGTGTGTGTGCATGTGCACACACTTGTAAGTGTGTGTGCAGAGCCAAAGGACAACCTCAGGTGTCATTCATAAGGTAAAATTTGCCTTGTATTTTAGAGACAGAGCCTCTCACTAGCTTGGAACTTTCCAAGTAAGCTAAGCTGACTGGCCAGTGAGTCCCAAGATCTGCCTGTCTCTGCCTCCTTAGTTGGGAGTACAGATTTGTACCACTGTACCTGCTTTTTCTGGGGGTTTTGGGATTGTAAGCATTTTGCTGACTGAGCCATTTCTCCGGCCCTCACAGCTGAACCCTGAAACCTTATTTCATAGTCAGAGTTGAAGACTAAAGTCATAAAAAGCTCCAAAGACTATCTGTAGGTCAGCTCCCAGGGACATCCAGGGAGACACTGAAGGAGTCCAAGGTTGACTGCTAAGACTCTCATCTGTTCCATTACCAACGGCAGCTTCACATGCTCAGGCGACCCCATCTTAGAGCTAGCCAAGCAACAAAGGTAGTGTCAGAAAGAAATACAACAGAGTGTGGGGGAATGTTCCAGATTAAGGCCAACTTAAACACACTTGTGATATTATTCTCTCTCACGGTAATTGGTATTGTGGATAAAAATGTGTATGACAGACACCAGCTCTTCACAAATGTGTCATGTGTCACCTGAATGAGAAAGTGTGTGAGTGGATCATCACATAGAAAGCCAGGGAGATTTTACTTTGCAATATATCCTCATCCCCAAATTTGCCAATATACTTCAGACTTTCTTTTAAAGTGGTGCAAAGTAAGAATTAACAATGTGGGAAATTGCTGTAATCTCTTGTTTGAGAGACAACAGTCACTTTTTTGTGGATATTTTTTTTCATGTCACCTAAGTATTCCATGCTGTGGCTCAGTGGGTGGTCTTGGCTCCAGCAGAGGCCAAGATTAGCAAAAAAGACAACACACACACACACACACACACACACACACACACACACACACACACACGAGCTAAAGGAAGAACAAAGCTGAAACACACCTGCGCACAACCTCATGGGCCCCAAGAGATGGCAATTAAGAAGTCAGCCACTCTAGAAATACCTCATGCAATTTAAACAAAAATCTACCCCATCAGCGTGGGGAACTTGTTTCAAGAGTTTGAGTGGAGAAAAGGAATGGTGTGCTTCTAGGGGACTCTGGTTAGGGGAAAATGCGTATAAACTTCAGCTGATGCTCTGACAGAGGGGACATCCTGGAAAATGTATGGAGTGACTAAGCCAGGGAAATGCCACTGGATTAGTAGCAATAGGCAACACTAGCTTGCTGCCCACTCTGAAACACCCACCCACACGCGGTCTGCCTACTGCAGAGAAATCACAGGTCCAAGCACTTGTGCCTCCTCACTCTGGCCCTGTTTGCATTCTCTCCGTCTGGAGCATTTCCAGGCATTTTCTGATGAGCACTGGAAGAAGAGCGATGAGTCACAGCCTTACAGAATGGAGTGACTGGCTTAGCTGGGAGGTGGCTCACAAGAACACGAGAAAGAGTGGGTTTTGCAGCAGGCATGTGACTATTTCAATCCACCTTAGGACTTGGAACTACTGGCTAGAACACCTAGTTTAGGACACACAGTGAATCTCAGATGCCCCAAATTTCCACACATGGGACCCCCAAAGTCTCATCTTTCTAGGAATCAGAAATGAGGTAAAGGGCAGAAAGAAGAAGCATGTTTGACCACTTTGATTCTCTTCCCTATCGGGAGGTCTCATCTAACATCTAACAGGGCACCTTTGCCAGGACAACTGTAACAAAAAACTGAGAGGACAGTGGCACACCACCCTGGAGTAAGGAATCCCTACAGAGGTGCTGCTAGGGAAGACCCACTGTGGAACGTGAGCAATGAAAACAGCAGACAGCAGGCAGGCCCATTTCCCAGCATGGAAGGAGCCATGCTGGGCTAGGCAAAAAGAGTGCAAGGCATGTGAGGTTTGATTATTTAGTGAACTGATGCAAAGAAAGCCTGGGAAGCCAGGAAGCCTACACTAATAACAGGAACAGTATCATATTAAGGCGTGGCTACCACGTGGGTCACAGATTTTTTTCTTTTAATTCTCCCATGCCCCTTTGGGCTCTCAGTAGCACATGACTGGCAAGGAAGGTCTCTGGTGAGGTGCAGGGGAACAGACCTACCTGGTACGTGGAGACAGGGGAGGCGGCAATGAATGGCGTGATAGATGTCTGTGGGATCATGCGGTTGGTCGCGAGACTGTACGGTGAAGAATAAAATCTGCAAACAGAAAACAACAAACAAAGATTCGTGAAGCTGCTGCTTGCCTGGTCTGCATTCCAGCTCTACCAAGCACATGGGGAAAAAGAGCCCCCACCTTGTTTTTCCACCATCTGGAAAGAGGGACAAATCAGCTGAACACAGGAAGAATTTTAAGTCATCTTACAAAATCAACCGTAAACACAACAGTCTTGATAACTAACAGGCAGAGGAGTATCAAGCCTTACACAAGGCAGTGGTGTCCAAGAGTCCTCCCAAAAAACAATGGATAAAGAAGGCACTAAGCTACATTGTAAGGATGGCCAGTGATTGCCCACAGCAATTGCATCTGTTCAGGAAATAAGAATTAACTCCTAGAAGGCTCTAGATATTTTGTGCTAGCATCCCTGCTTTCTACAGAGAATATTTTCTCCATGGAAAGAGAAGAAAGAGGATGACTTGCATCTGGATTGAAGCAAGAACTTTGTGGATTCCATCAAGGAAGTAGTGTAGATAACAGGATCATGGGCATGCTCCAGGAAACTATGAGGAACAATTAATCTCCTCAACCTTCTGGGACCCTTACTGAACAATTTTAAGATGATACTGAGTGAGAATAGGAACTCACTGATCTGAAGGAAGAACCTTCTAGAGATCTACTACAGAGAAATTCTTAGATACAAAAACCAGTGGGATACCCATCAATGGGCAGGATAGGTCTTAGTGTCCACCAAGTGTCTACTGATCTAATTCTTCAGCAGGATTTTAAACTCTATTTCCGCCCACATAGCTCCATGTATGTGAAAGGTCAAAGTAGCCATCCACAGAACAAACAAGACTAGGTCACTGAGGTCACAAGATTGCACTGGTGTTCCTACTGACTGGAAAAAATCGGGGGTAAAGCAGTGGGGTCTTCTTTTGCTAAATGCATAACAAAAGTCAACCATGATGTTCATTTTCTAGTTAGCAGGACAAAGTCTTAATTAACCCTTAGGATTCTCTGACACTTTGAAGACACAGTCATATGAGTTTCTCTAAAGGGAAGCATTTTATGATACTTCTACTGAATACATAAAAATAAGATTCACAGTTGCCAGTACTCAAGCAGTGAATGATTCAAAACAAAGATTAGTGACTTAGATTTTTTTTATTTTAAACTTATTTAAATTAAACTTATTTTATTTAGGTTTTGCCAAGGATTTTAAAAGAACTTATTTTTTACATGTCATTTTGTGTATTAGTGGGTGTCAGTATGTACACTTGTGAGTGCTGGTGTCTTTGGAGTCAGAAAAGGGCAACGGAGCTCCCAGAGTTGGAGTTACAGATGGCTCTTCCAATGTGAGTGCTAGGAACTCAACTCAGATCCTCTGTAAAAGCAGTAAGCTTTCTTCATTGGTGAGCCACCTTTCCAATCCCTACCAATGATGTTTTAAGGCCATATACTTTGGATTTTAAAAAATGCATAGATGGAAAAAAACAAACAACTAATCCATTCTACATTGTATTCTTCTTGCATGTGCTCACCGGCTCTTCTGACTATAGTGATGCTCTTAAAGGGATGTAAGGTACCAACATATTAGAACACCAAACAAAAGACACAGCAGATAAGTTCTGACAAGAATAAGGAGAAATGAACCTCTCCTCCTGGAGGGACTACTAAATGATACAGTTGTCTAGGAAAGGGTTTGACAGTTTCTTATAAGAATAAATACAAGCACACCCTATAGCCCAGGACCCTGTTCTTCCTAAGTGAGATAAATGAAAACTTGTTACAAAATGCTTATTGCAAATGTGGACAGAACTTTTATTCATATTTGCTTAAACTGGTAACAACCAGATGCCATTAAATTCCAATGACCATGGGTACATCCATACCCTGGAATGCTATTAAGCAACAACAAAAAAGAAAACACAACTGTCCTTATTATCCACAAAGGGTTGATGACAGAGTCCTCCCTCCCACCATGGATACATGAATGCAAAGATTCTTAGTGTCTTCACATTGCACATAGCCCTGGATTACCACACATTAACTCTAGATTACGTATAATATCTAATACAAAGCACCAGTCCTATAGGTAGTTAGCTCACAAAGTCTGGAGGTCAAGGACAAGAATAAGATATCTGTGTGTGCATGCATATTATTTTCAAGTATTTTTTGTTGTAGTTGATGGAATCCATGAATGTGAAATTTGTGAACAAGGGACAGCTGTAACCAGTGGGAATGTCAGGATGGTGGGGCTCAAGGGAGTTACGTTACATCAAAGGTGCAAAACACTACAAAGCACACAATCCTGTTTATGTCATAATGTGGAAAAGGCAAAATCATAGAGGCAGGGCTAAGACAGTGGCTGGTATAGTCTAGTCCTGACAGAAGGGCTGACTGCAGAGGACTGTGAGGGGACTTAGGAGTAGGTACAGCTCTTCATTATCCTGGTTGCTGTGGGTTCAGAACTGTGTGTTCTTGACACAATCAGAGTCATACTCCAAAAGAACAAATATGCTATGATACATATATGTGTATATATATATATAGTCTATACACTATAGATTTCATCTATAGATCATACATATAGAAGTATGTTTTTATATACTCAAAACTATACTAAATTGTCCTTGCATTGGAGGGTTGCTTTTGGAAATGAGATCTTATGTTCCCTAAAGCTGGCCATTAGCCCATTAAGTAACTGAGGCTGGCCTTGAACTCCTGATCTTCCAGCCTCAGCTTTCTGAGTGCTAGGGTTACAGGTATATACCATCATGCCATGCCGGAAACACTGTTTTTGAGACAGGATCTCACTATGAAGAAGAGATTGGCCTTGAACTCCTGTGAATCCTCCCACTTCAGCCGACCAAGTGCTAGGATTACATGTGGTGGTATTGTGTTCCCCAAAATATTGTGCACCCTAATAAACTTATCTGGGGTCAGAGACAGAACAGCCACTAGATACAGAGGATAGAAAATGGTGGCACTCACACCTTTAATCCTAGCATTCCAGAGGTAGAAATCCCTCTGGATCTCTGTGAGTTCAAGGCCACATTGGAACAGCCAGGCATGGTGACACATGCCTTTAATCCCAAGAAGTGAGCCTTTAATCCCAGGGAGTGATGGCAAAACCAGAAAGATATATAAGGGGTGGAGACCAGAAACTAGAAGCATTTGGCTGGTTAAGCTTTCAGGCTTTGGAGCAGCACAGTTCAGCTGAGACCCATTTGGTGAGGACTCAGAAGCTTCCAGTCTGAGGAAACATGATCAGCTGAGGAACTGGCGAGGTGAGGTAGCTGGGCCTTGCTCTACTTCTCAGATCTTCCAGCATTCATCCCAATACCTGGCTCCAGGTTTGATTTTATTAATAAGACCTTCTAAGATTCCTGCTACAATTACAGGTATGTGCCCCCACACTCAGTTCTAAACAGTGTTTATGAAGATGGTTGCTACACATGAAACATTCATCTTGGTACTTTTTCTTTTTATTTATGAGTATGTGTGTTTGCCTGCTTGTCTGTATGTGCACCATGTGTATGCAGGTATTCCCAGAGGCCAGATGAGGTCATAGAAAGCTATGCAGCTGAGGTTACAGGTGGTTTTGAGCCATGTGACATGGGTGCTGGGAACCAAACCCAGGTCCTCTGCAAGAGCAGCTGTGTTCTTAGCCCCTGAGCCATGATGTCTCTGGCCCTCTATTTTCTACTTTAAAAAGTTTACTGAGCATTTACTATGTGTACCTGTGACAGACAGGACTCTGAAACATCACTCAATAAATCCTCCTTTATTTCATCCCTCAAAGTGTGACTTACCTTTATGCTCATCTTCCTACCAGTCTTCAAGGGTTTCTCATTGCAGTGAGAGCAGAATTCAGCTACTGGCTTGACAATCAGGTGGCTGCCAACCTCTCTGACTTCTTTTCCTACTCACTGCTTCCACACCTGAGATTCTGGAACTTTCTCCTCTCCATGATCCTGTTGTTCCCAGTCCCGCTGAGCAGTACAGCATGAAAGCCCTCTACACAAATGGCTGCCCAGCTCTGCAGCCCCGCCCCTTCCCCCTCTCAACTGCCACTTCTTTAGGCACTTGTAGCTAATGTAGCAACTACCATCTCTGGCTCCATTTTTCAAAAAAAGAAATCTCCTTTATTACTTTTCTTTGTTCTATAATTGAGTCAGTATGAAGTTTCTGAAAAAAAAAATCTCTGCTATGGATTGAATGTGTCTTCCACCTCCTCAGTTCATACATTGAAATTTTGACTTCTGGCATGACTGTGTTAGAAAATGGGCCTCAGAAGCAGCAATTGAAGTGAAAGGGCATAACGAGGGTGGGTCCTGGGTTAGCCAGAATTTATAATTTCAATTAAAAACAGACACCTAAGAGTCCATTCTTTCACCACCACCACCCCCCCCACACACACACACAGGAGGAAGAACTACTCAGGAGATAGCAGGACGGTAGTGTTCAGAAAGCCAGGAAGGGGTACCCTCACAGAAAACAAATTATGTCCTTGATTTTGAACTTCAAGCCTTTGGAATTTGTGGGGAGATCAATTACAGTTAAGCCAATGACTTGCCTCCGGAAGCCCCACCTGAAAACTATAGCATATTTCTTAACTATTTGTCTCTTTACAATGTTAGTTCAATGTGGATTCAGGTGATTATGGCCTCGCTGTCTAGGAAGGAGCCTGGGGCAACTGTAGTAATGTAATAACTGTTTATTGATGCGATGAATGAACACAGAGCCATCGCTAGAATTTGGAGCATGGAAGATGGGTCAATGAAGGAGATAGGAAGCTAGAGACGAGAGTCCAGAGAAGGGAAACCCAATACCACATTATGGTGATATTTTATTTGTATTAAAATGTTATTTGTATGTTAATAAATAAAGTTGCCCGGGGGTCAGAGCTATTAGCAAGCCATAGGAAAGTAGGGCAGTGGTAGCGTACGCTTGTAATTCCAGCACTTGGTAGGCAGAGCTGGGTAAGTCTCTGTGTGTTCAGGGATACAGCCATTATTGGATACACATGCCTTTA